TCGTGTCAGGTCGTGCTGTGTCTCAGTGATTGGTTGACCTTCAATTCATTCTGGCACGCTACTAGGGGCTTTTCATTGGTTTGCACTGGCAAGATGGCCGTCCCCTCTACTGTGGTTCCAAGGACATCCTAACACCTCCCAAATTTCATCTCACGTGGGGCTGTGTTTCCAAACCCCTTACTTCTGAGCACCCTGCAGCTTGAACCCACTCTGGCCCCCTGGGGGAGGGCCTCGAGCAATGGCCAGATGCTGGCCTGTTCTCTGAGCGTGCTCATGCAACCGCGCCTCTGCAGAGGCCCTGAGACTGCGGCCAGGTGCTAGCCAGCCCCAGAGAATTTTTGTGTAATTGTGTAGCAGCAGTTTAGGGACTATAGTAAATCACAACACACATCTGGCACCAGGCTTCATGGCACCCTAGCGTTGTGGTAGGGTCCCCTCCCTAAGGAGAGGGGAGAAAAAGGAGAGAAAACTTCAAGGTAACCTGGCTATGTGCCTCCGTGACATCCCTCTTGACTTTGTAAACGGAGACTAATCAGACTGCATGTTTATCTGTGTTACCATATATGGGAGACAAATAAATAGAAAATGTATAAAAAACTATGCCATGTGAGGTTCAGTGTTCAGTTCTTTGGGTACAAAACCAACTGAGCGGTGCTGGCACGAATAAAGTTGCTTCCTGGAAATCAAAAAGCCTCAGTGTCACGACTCTGTGGGAGAATCCTGCTACGGCATCTTAGTTTCAACACCAGCAAACATGGCTGTAATCTGGGGTCCGCTGGGCCCTTTGCTTGTGGGGAGGCCACACAGCCTCTACCAAATGTCCTCCCTGCAGGGGAACTACTTCCCCTCCGTGTGGCCCTAGGACCCTTCGGACCTCACTGCTCCTGGAGATTTGCCCTTCCCATCAGAGCACCGCCAGGTATCCAGGTATCGAGCTGCAGAGCTCTGTATAAACCCTCTCCTTTCTCCTTTTCCCTTTCTTCAGTTCCTTGCAGGTGTTCCCACTCTTTCTCCTAGTCGCCAGCTGCTTTTGCGGGGAGTGCTTTTCCTGTACTCTTCCCTGTCTCTGCCCTCGGCAAAAACAGCTCCCCACCCTCCGTGGCTTCTCTCTCCCCCAGTTCATCTCTCTGTGCCGTGTACTTGCCGAGTTCTGTGGCTCAAGTTATGCAGATTGTTAGTCCTCAGATCAATTTCTCTAGGTGTGCAAAATGGTTTGGTGCTGATCTAGCTGCATTTCAGGGACGAAAGAAGCAGAGAATTTCCATGCTGCTCTGCCATCTTCCCCACTGTTTTTTTATTTAAAACAATTTTTTTAATGTTTTTTTATTTTTAAGAGAGAGAGCATGAGTGGGGGAGGAGCAAAGAGAGAGAGAGAGAGAGAGACACAGGATCCGAAGCAGGCTCCAGGCTCCAAGCTGTCAGCACAGAGCCCAATGCGGGGCTCGAACTCACAAACCATGAGATCATGACCTGAGCTGAAATTGGCACTCAACCGACTGAGCCACCCAGGCACCCCAACCATTGTTTTATTTTTAATTACAACATTGAATTTATTTTGAGACTTCAAGTTGCACTGAGAGAGGCCACAGGTTTTGGTATTTTTCATCAAGTATGGAATAGAAAAGTTGAGAAAGAAGACTGGCATCCAACCAAGTCAGGAAAAAGATAAGCTGCCACTTGTTGCTAGCAGTGGTCATTTTTCTGGAAGTTCTGGACAATATCAATATGAAAAAATGAGTTTATATAAATACTAGGATGTGGCCAAGT